AATTTTGAATTTTTTTGAATTTTGAAAATTTTTACTGTTCACAGTGGTAAATGATAAAAAAATTCATTTACTGCGGCCCCATCCGATTAAATTGATGAAAATTTTATTTTTGATTTTTTAAAATTTATAAATATTTTATAATTATTTTATTATTATTTTATTCCTTAAATACTTGAAAACCAGAAGAGGAGCGAAAAGACAACAATACCCTCTATTTTCACGGTCAAATGGACGGAAAGTTACGTTATGACGTAAATAGTCGAAAAATGGCTCTTTTTGGACGAAATGGGACGTAAATGAGCATTTTCAAATATACAGGATGAAAATGATTGTTCGACCAAATGTACGAGACGTTCTATGCGGTTTAGTCTTTTACAATTACAACAAATAGGTCAACCTGTTAATAAATTGTAGACTATTTTTCGAGAACGAAGGAGTATTTATTTTTTTTCAAAAGCATCAATTAAGAGTGAACCTGGTGAAATGTACTCTCTCTCTCCTAAAATTGTTTTCCAGTTAGATTTTTATTTTTAGTTTAAATTGTATTAAAAGTAAAATCTCAAACTACATAATAATTTTGGGACAGAATGAGTAATTAATTATTATGTTTTCACTTATTAGTATTTATATTTTAAAATTTCTCATTAATTTCATATTTTTGATAAAATTTTATAGTATGTTGTTATTCTTAATCTTGTTATTATCAATGTGTAAACTATTTTACAAACGAAATGGATTATTAACGGAGTAAAGCGGTTAACAAATATGACAAAAGTTCCTTGTCACATCAATCAATAAGATTATATTATACGAAATTGCATGAAAATTATCGCATAGAGTTCTATGTTTCTTTTTGTTTTCTTTTAAATTTTTTTTTTCCTGTCTCGATCTCGATGATGATTTCATTTTCATTTGGCAAAACATATGTTGACCTTTCGATGTGTGTGTGTGTGTGTGTGTTTTTTTTATTTGTTTTTATAACCTATGAATCCAACTTCGCTTTAATTAATTTTATCGTGTTTTGGAAAAGTATATTCCATTTGCCTTAAAAACTAGTCTAGGAGTATTTTTCTTTTTTAGAGCATACGATTATCAAAGAATTTTTCTCTTTACCATTTTGTTTCTTTTAATTACTAGTGATGTCTGGTCGCGCAATGCGCGACCCTGGCCCAGTATATTTGTAGATCTTAGAAATGTTTGTATTTGAAAAAAAATATTTTGTATTTGGCCCGATATATTTTAGAAATGTTTGAAGAATTTAGAAATGTTTTATAAGTATGATCATAGAAATGTTTTATTTGGCAAAAAAAAAAATTGTATTTAGCCCGGTACGTTTTAGAAATATTTGAAGATTTTAGAAATGTTTTATAAGTGTTACTTATTAAATATAAATAAACTTGATCAAATATATATCTTGAAGTAAATGTTAGACAAAATATAAAAGCATCCTAATAAGTTTAAATATTAGTAAGATGATTTATTTATGTTCTCCTTTTGTCGTGCCGAATCAATTCTTAATTTTAGAGATTTATAATAATTTTGTAGTAAGCTTCCTCCGAAGGGTATACGTTTAATTGTTGGAACTGTTTCTTCCAAAAATTTATATGTAATAAAATATCAAAAATATGATTTTGAAACTGGTTAATTGTTGAAACTGATTGATCACAAATATGAGAATGAAAATTAATGTAAATTTGCATAGGTTTCAAGTTATAGTAAAAAAGAACTCACCTCACCATGGCAAATAAAAAAAAAGTAAGTAAAAGAGCCATTAAAAATTGAGAAATTATTTTTTTTCCTGTAGGTAAAAATGATGTATAAAAACACAAATAAACGTAGAAACATCATTCTTTGCCTCTCCACCTCAAATTCTTCTTCCTCATAAATTAGTTAAAAGAAACGACCTGAACTATTTAAATGATGAGAAACTCAAAAAAGTCCAAAAACCAAATCCAAAAAAATATATTCTTGAAAGCCCGAACACAAAAAAAAAAAACAAAGCGCTTCATTTGCACAAAAAATAATAATAATAATAATAATAATAATAATAATAATAATACTAATTAGTCAACTGAGAGTATAAACAAAATGAAAAATAATTAAATAAAGAAAAAACACAATTCATAACAGACCATATACGAAAAAAACTGAGACTCCATAACTAAAAAAAAGAAAACCACTCTAATTGAATGAAACATAAAAAAGAAATTAAAAAAACCACACTTTGTAACAAAAACCCAATTGATCAATTCAATCCAAACAGAACTAAAATCATACAAAAAATTCTAGGCTAATTAACCATATAAGAAATCACATCATATTACCTAGCAACAGGTACAGTAACTGTAACGGGTGGACGCATAAAAATAACAGTAATAATACTATTCTTGAATGGCAAAAAAAATAAAATAAAAGCCGTACAAATGATCTGTGGATATAAAATCATTTAAATTTTAATATCTGTAATGGAACTACCACAACGACCGAAGCAAGATCAATGAGAATTTTTTTTTTTCCTTTATGTTTACATAAGAGGTAAAGAGAATATTTTTTGAAGTCAAAATTTTATTCGATTAGGATGTAGTTGATCATCACTAATGAAAAGATTGAACATGCTAATAGAAATGAGTATATTTCACCACTTATTCTCAATTGATGATTGATGAGGAATTTGTTTTATATATATATATATATATATATATTTTTTTTTTTTTATTGTGGAGAAGGAAGTGATTAGGGAGTCGATTGTCGTAGAGATGGGGATGAGAATTTGGGCTATTTATGAAGCCGTGTTTTTTTTTTTTTTTTGTTTTGGCAAAAATAGGAGGTGGAGGTAGATTTGGACTACATTTGCCTTTTAAGTCTAAGAAACTGATGTGTAAATAAAAATTTATTTTAAAAATATAATGTGGAAATGCCACATATCAAATTGTGGTGCTTTTTCTAAAGTGTGGTTTTTGTTTCTAATATAGTAAGATACATCTATTTTATACGAACTTTTTTCCTTTTTAATTATTAATTAATTTACTTTATCCGAACTTCTCCCTTTATCCATTTTGTTAAACTGCATATCATATTTATGTATCCCCAGTTTTATCTTCACTACTTCTTCTCTTTGTGTTGTGGACTATACATTTGTGACTATAAATAAGGTGGTTAAAAGCACAAAAATGAAGATCAAAATATAGTATATAGCCAGCACAAATAATAATAACTTTTTTTTATTAAAAAAATAAAAACTAAATATTCTAAAAAATGTAGTATACAATAGAGAGCAGCTCATTAGAGATTGAGCATGATTTTATTCTTGCAAACTAGAAATGAACATTGAAATACAAAAATCATACATATAATCAAACAAATTAAACAATAAGAGCATCATACTTAAACAACGACTAAATCCAAAAGCACTTTGACAATGTGAGGCTGAAGAACTAGAATAGGATTAGTATATCCATCCAAATAGTGCTTGTAGGTAACATCTATCATCCTTGAAAGGTTGAGCACTCTCATGAGATTTACCCTTTTTACAGTCGTTGGCCTGAGAAATTGCTCATTTGTGTCCTTCCAAGCATCTTCAGCAATTTCTTCAAGCTTCACCATTGCTTCTTCTTCCGATACATTGTAATGTTTTGTGTAGCACTCGAGTCCGGTTCCACCCCTTTGTTTCTCAGACTAATTGGAGTTCACAACAATTGAAAATAAAAATCAATTTTTAATTAGCTTTTACAAAATTCCCCTCCTTCTGTTCCAAATAATAGTCCAGTTTGAACAACTGGACAATCATTTTGTAACGGAGAGAGTAATTTAAAAATATGAAATTAATTAGAACACATTTTAATAAGAACTACCTCATAAGAAGCAATGTCGTTTACGAATCGTACTATTTTTGCGCCAGTCACTATGATTTTAGGATCTTTTTCGAGCCAATCGAACTTGTCTTCTGAATGCTTCCCCATAAACAACAAGGATGCTACAATTAGTAAGAAGTTTGCGCTCGTGATCACTCCTATCTCTGTGTAATCTTGAAATTTTGGCAGTTGTCTGTTGAGGAACCAACATGATTGAGTGTAACTCGCCCTTACATATATTTTCCACTGGACAAAACACAATCTTTGGTTAGATTCTTGTTCATGAGTTTTCTCCCCAAATTTATATATACTATGTAAAAAAATATTGAGTGTCTCAATAGGGTGTTTATTTTCATAAACACCACATTTACAACTTGAAGCCACATATTTTAAAATTAGACCATTTTACCCCTATAATTTTTTTAAATCAAATAATTTGACTAGAGAGAAAATAAAAAAAATAAATTTTTTTTTTTAAAAAATTGGCCGACGGGCGGTCCACCTGTTCCGGGTTAATCCGAGACGGGTTCATTGCTCGGTCGGTCTCGGTTCGGTCTGATATGGTGAACCGGACTGGTCAGGTCTTTTTTTAATTTTTAAATTTTTTGTTTTTTTTGTAATTAAAAAATAACAATATTTGTTATTTAAAAAAGTCTAAAAATTAAAAAATATCAATCGGATTCATTGCTATTCTTTTAATTTTTAGATTTTTTGTTGTAATTAGTTAATCTAGTTTTTAGGTCATTAAATTTATTAATAATTTATTATTTGAGTTACATTAAGTATCACCAATCTTTGTAGTACAAAAAATAGTTAATCTATTTGTACATATTTGTCACAATCTTTGTAGTACAATTATTATTTTGCATTATAAATGTATAATTATTATTTTAACTAAAAATTATCTTTAAAATAATCATTAAAACAAAATTTATATTTTAATATCAATGCAAATAAATTAACTTAACAAATAATCTTAAATTTATTTTCAAGTAAAAATTATTTATTTATTTATTTTCAAGTAAATATAAAATCGAGAGTTTAAGCACTAAAGTATAAGTATTGTTAATAATATTTAAAGTATGAGGTATTCAACATGTAACGATACTGCGAATAAACTAACATTAAAATAAAAATTAATAATTTATCCGTTCTCACGTGAATCGGACCGAATAACTTGCCCGGTTAGGTTCGAGTGGCGGGGACAAAAGAGAAATTCTTCAAAATTGGTAGCTTCAAGTTCTAATTTGGGTGGCCGGAAAAATCCACCCCCTCAATGAGCATTTATGTAGCACGAGGTACAAGGCCAGATGTGGTTTTGTACCCAATCATAGAAAAAGATTCAAGTTCATCTTTTGATTTTTGCTAATGTCATTCCAATCAGTGATTCTTCTTGATTAATAAATTAATATGGATTATTTCGAAAATCGAATTTTCAGATGCTATAAATGGTTGTACCTCTTCTTTGTATTTTGACAATGCAGAATACCCATAGTTTCCTTGTTTAGTCAGCTCTTCATCCACCCAATCACCCAAATTCATCAAACCAATATATATTGGTTTCATGTATTTTGGGAGTTGATCAACTTCCTTGATGTCCCACCTGAAAATTAACCATGATATTAACATAAGTTTTATTTCATAAGTTTATAACCATGGATAATGATGTAAGAAATTGAAGACACCTTTCTGTTGCATCTCTGAAGTCCTTTAGTTCATCAACTGTGCCATAGGCATCATAAGTGTCATCAATTATTGAAATGAAGAGTGCTGTTTTTGCAAAGGCGATTCGGCATAGAGAATATTGAGGTTCAAAGAATATTGAGGTTCAAAGAATGCTGCCAATCCCCAAAAGTAACATTCAACCAATCTATCTCTTGAGTATGTAACTTTTGGTACACAATTCTTCAAGTCATCCCGCCAGCTACAATACAAAATTTCAGAATTGAAATATAAAATCTTGAATATTAATTCTTACATATATGTACGGTATGGACTAAACTATTTATATGAGATAGAGAGATATACTATCGACTACCTGAAAAGTGCGTCAAGTTCTTTTCGGTGCAATATTTGAAGATATCTGTAATCCAGTTTTGCCAACCTTAGGAGTAAAGGGTCTTTGCCATCTTCTTCCTCGTACACTTCCATGTAGTGAAGAGCTTGTATTCTTGGGACATCCCTATGTAATGGCTGGTCAAGAGCATATTTGACTTGTTTGGCCAGAGAAAATGACATTTCTTGTTGATCTCCTCCTGATTTTTTGAGATGAGTTGTTGCAAAAACAAGGGCTATCTCTAAAATGTCATCTTCATGAGTCCTCACATAAGCAGCTTGATATAAGCTCAAGAGGCTCTTTTTATCATTGATAAGGGATTCTTGGAATTCACCCTTACTATTCAAAAATTGGTGGAAGATATCTGATTCACGAATTGACGATTTAAGAATGACTAAAATAAAAAGATTTTTTAGAATTAATACACACAATAAGAATTTTATCTTTAGAGAAAACACCAAATTTATCAATTCCATTCCGAAATTATTATATATTTAGTTTGGATTTTTATTTTTAGTTCAAATTATACTAAAAGTGAAAGTTCAAATTGGAAAATAATTTTGGGACAAAGGGAGTAAGTAATTTTGAATCGAATTGAGATCTAAATGTTAAATTAATAGGCTCAAATTGTTGGCTTTTATCTCTCCAAGTTGCCAATATATATGAGAATCGAAATACTGCCTACAAACCTCAACATTGTGATAAATGAATAATAAGTGTACTTTTGCATCTACGTGTGTTGACATACTACACTGGATTAAACATATGATTATTAGTTATATTATTAACAAGAAAGAAGAGGGCATTGATAAAATTAAATGAACTTATGAAAATTACTTTTTTTTTATAAAAAAAATCATATATTCAAAGTAATAAATGCCGGAAAAATAAGAGGAAATAATAATATTGTGAGGCCCACATACCAGAAGATATAGTATAACCATGCTGCCTTAAGAGTCGAAATTGAAGTGCAGTAGCATACAAATCATTTTGTAGATCCTCTTCATAATTCGATCCACATTGAAGGAAAATTGGCTCCAATAATTCCTCAATTTCTTCCTCGAAATGGTACGAAATGCCAAGCCGTTCTATTGTGTCTATTAAGTCCAGCTGTTGTATGGTTGCCCCTTCTCTAACCTTAATCAACATATTTCGCACTTCATTCTTCAGCATTTCAATCTCTTTGGCGTGCATGACGTACTCCTAATGAATGAAAGACTTTTAAATTGGGATGAAAGTAATAATATATTATATTAATGACTATAAAAAATTAAAAATATGTACGGTGTAATGCGTGCATTTTCCGTACATCCTAAAATAAGAGATTATGTTATTCTAAACGGAATAAAATAAATATAATTCTGATTTGGAACCGTCGAAATAATTGAGCAACGAACTCCAAAATTAGCTAATAAACCTGCATATCCAAAGTAATTGGCTTGATTCGATCGGTCCAAATGCTTCCGGGGAACTCCGCCACCGGACGAATCTTCTCCTCCTCGTTGGTTAGAGATGAGTTCTTAGCAGCTGAAGCTGATGAGGGCGCCATTTCTGTCAGGATATTTGTTAGATGGAAGAAGTTAAAGATTGTAGCAAAACTTTAATGAATGATTTGATTATGAAAAATGGACGTAGTAGGACTATATATAAAAAGATAGGTCGTACTTGATCCTTTACTCGATACTGTCATAAACAAGACTATCAGTTTGGGAGGTAATGTATAGCTAAGGAAAGTGAAAAATATCTCAAATACTGTTTTCGAGATTGGATATGAGCTGTTAGCTGTTAGATAAGTTTCTTAAATGCTAGTAATTTATAGGCCCATCAATTGAATGTGAATGTATGCCATAATTGTACAAGACATGATCACGACGCTTTTGGCTTGATTTTTTGCATCCAATTTTTTTTTATTTTCTGTAAATCTTGGGCGGCGTCGACGGCTAAGGAGTCATAGGGAGGAATTATTTTGTGGTGGTTTTGATTTCATATCCTGTTCAAATTTCAGCTGAATTTGCTTATAAAATGGTAAATTCACAAATTAATGTGTCAATTTCAGTCATTTCGTATTATATATATTATTAATAATTTACTGTCGTTGCTTTATTTTCATAAGTGATGATTGAAGAAAGACTATTGAAGTATGCTACAACAATAGTAGTAACACGACATAATCAGAAAGAGCATGATTCACCACCAAAACGTCATGATCACTTGATTTAGCCTTACTAGATTGGGTAAATTAATTGAACGGATACGTCCCTGTAACCAATCAACTATAGAAACGTTTTTGTCATTAGAGTATAAGAGATTTAGAAATCACAAAGTCTAATTCAGTATGTTGTGGGACCTTACCTGAAATAAGATGAAGTAATCAAATTAAATTGAGAATGGTATGTGTATCAATATCAAGATTGTTGAGAACAAAGCTTGTTCATCTAGGTTCCGTTCTTACACAGAGTTAGAGGGGGAGGAAGATCTTGTTTTCTTCATCACAATATAGTTTGTCTTGGGCAGCACAAAGTCGACAAGGAAGTCATGTGGAAACTCATTAAGAAACAAAAAAAAAAAAAATATGAAGATTTTGTAATCAAATCAAATTTAACCCAAATCAACCTGACGACCATATCAAATATTCACTCCATCCCGAAATTATTGTTCAGTTTGGTTTTTTATTTTTAGCACAAATTGAAAAAAGAGTAAAAATTCAAACTGTATTGGAAAGTATCTAACCTCCCTCCAATAGAAGTTGGAAGATCGGGATTCTAGTTAAAAATTCCTCCCTCCGGTCCTAATAAGGTATTTTTATTTATCCAAATGTTTATTTAGCATGTTCTTCCTATTGAAAATAATATCTTAAAAGTATTTTATAATACTACCTCCGTCCTAAAAAAATAGTTCACATTGAGTTTTCAAATTTGTACTAAAAATAATATAAAATTCAAAACTCAATTTGAACTATTTTTGTGGACAGAGAGAGTAATTGGCAGAAGAAAATAAATATTAAAACATATTTTTAAAATTTTATTTTTGAATAAAAAAATAATAAATGAAATTTACTACAAATCAAAATAACTCGTAATAAGAAGACAAGCGAGTAATTAGTAACGAGTGGAATCCAATATATTTCAAAAGGCCAATTTCGAGAAATGGCCCAAGCAAAATAAAACACTAGACCAATCTAATACGAGAGAACCCATTTCAGGAACTAACCGTGTTAGTATGCCGAATGATATGGAAGGTAGACCAAGAAGATGGCCTAAAAGGTACACCAGCCCAAAACGTTAAAGAGACACGGATCAACAAACTGGGAAATAGAATACTGATGTTCAGTGAGTAAAAAATCAGCAGCGAAATTCTCAGTTCAGCTGAATATAGAAAAGTTTCGGGGTATAGAAATCGATGTTTGATCCGGTGAGCAAGCAACAATGACTATTTTCTTCGTTTACTTGTTCGTTGTGTCCACGTCCATCAAGGATGAATGAATTCTCACAGCTAAGGCCCTGTTTGATTAAAATTTAATTTGGGTCTAAAATATAAAATATGAAGACTAAATCATAAATATTGAAGTAATTAAATTTGTATTGTTTGATAAAAATCAAAATCTAAAGAATGAAAAAAATGTCAAAAATTTGAAGTCTGAACACTGAAATTTGAAGTCGTTAAGATGTTCACTCATAATTTATTTTTCTAAGAAAATTAATGATAGATATGAAACCATGATAATAAAAATGATAGTATTCTTATGAATTTTTGTAACCAAAATATTTATTTTTGATTATGTGATTATTTTATAATTAATATTAGTAGATTCTTATGGTAAATATAAATTAATCATGGACTTTATTCATATTTTAATTTTTTTATTAAAATAAATACCAGTATATATATAAATTAATTCATAAAATTTTTAATTTCAAACTAAACATCAAGATTAATAAAAATGAATCAAAGATTAAAAAATATAAAATATAAACATAAAAGTAAATAATAAGGAAAAGGAAAAAAAAAGGAGTCTCTATCCAGTATACCCGGGGGCACCATACTCTCCCTCCTATTTTTTACACTACTAGTCTTTATTACACTTTTTTTCACTTTTCTAAATAGTATCCTATAATTTACAGGTTTATTCCTTTTGATTTTTTTTCTCTCTCCTTTAAAAAACATCTCTAATCTTTAAACGACCATATCTCATGATCCGTAATAAATTAGAGAACGTGTTATACATGAATTTTATTGTACTCATCGAGATCTATCCAACAAGATCCATGTCAAATATTTTTTCCGAGTTTAAAAATGACTAAATTTCGATGGACAGAATAAGATGGATATCTAGTTTAGAAAGATGGATAACTAGTTTAGTTTAGATTAAGATTCTTGTATTGCATATATCTCTTGATCCGTAAAGAATTAGAATACGAATTATACATAAAATTTATAGTGCTTGATGAAATCTATCCGATAAGATCCATGTTGAATATTTTTTTGAACTTTAAATGCATTTAAATTTTACGGGCATAAATGAAGAAATGTGTTTTTTGTTTTTCTTTGAAAAATGATTATCCGTTGTGTTCTACTGATTATCCAACCGGTTTGGACTGATTATCCATTCCGTTTGTACTTGTTATGCAATCATATTTTTGACATTCACTCTTCAAAAAAAAAAAAAAAAAGAAAGAAAAAAATGATTGGATAAACATTGCAAACAATTTGGATAATTAATAGAAAATAATTGGATAATCAGTGCAACACGTTGGATAATCAGTACAAAAAAGCTAGACAATCATTTTCATAAAAGAGCAAGGAAAAAAATACTGGATAACCACCGCAAAGAAGTTGGATAATCAATATGAACACATTGGATATCCAGTTTATTTTATATTCATATTGTTGTATTCCTTATATCTTTTGAGTCGTAAAGAATTATAACACGAATTATATATGAAATTTATAGTGCTCGACGAGATCTATCCGATAAGATCAATGTTGAATATTTCTTTTCAACTTTAAATGCATTTAAATCTTACGGGCAGAAAATGAAAAAACTGAAAAATGATTATCCGTTGTGTTCATACTAATTATCCAACCAGTTTGGACTAATTACCTATTTTGTTTTATCCAATCATATTTTTTACATTCACTTTTCAAAAAAAAAAAAAAGAAAAAAGAAGATGGATAACCAACTTAATTTAGATTGATATTCTTGTATTACATATATTTCTTGATCCGTAAAGAATTAGAACACGAAGATGGATAAATATCCAGTGCGTACAAACAAGTTAGATAGTCATACAAACCAAATAGATGAATATCAAGTACAAACAAGTTGGATAGGCATACAAACCAAATGGATGGATATCTAGTACAAATAAGTTGGATATCTAGTACAAGCGAGTTGGATATCCAGCACAAACAAGTTGGATATGCATACAAACCCGTTGGATTACAACGACAAAATTAGTTGGATAAGCATATAAACCAAATGGATGGATATCCAGTACAAGCGAGTTGGATATCCAGTACAAACGAAATGGATACCTAGTACAAACAAGTGAGATATCCATTACAAACAAGTTTGATAGGCATACAAATCAAATGGGTGGATATCCAATACAAACAAGTTGGATAACCAGTTCAAACTGGTTGGATAATCACCATAAACATAATGGATAACCAATTTAAAATGAATTGGGTTATCCACATTTCTAAACTAGATATCCATCTTATTCTGCCCATCGAAATTTAGTCATTTTTAAACTCGAAAAAAATATTCGACATGGATCTTGTTGGATAGATCTTGACGAATACAATAAAATTCATGTGTAACACGTTTTCTAATTCTTCACGAATTGAGAGATATGATCGTTTGAAAATTAGAGATGTTTTTTTTAGAAGAGAGGGAAAAAAGTGACAGGGACTAAACTTGCAAATAATAGAAAGATTATTAGAAAAAGTAAAAAAAGTACAATAAGGACTAGTAGTGCAAAAAATAGGAGAGGGAGTATGGTGCCCCTGGGTGCACCCAATAAATTGCCAAAAAAGTTTCAAGAACTCAGTTCAGTAATAAGTGATAGGTCTATCACTTATTTTTAGATTCAAATTTGTACTTGCATTTCAGACTCACATAATTTATTAAGACGTTATGCTTTTACCTTTTAGTTATCAAATGCACTTAAAAATTAATTATTTAAATTTTTAATGATTAAGTTGTTATAAGATCACGTTATCAAACCATATCGATCAATTAAACACTTTAGCAATTAAAACCCAGTTTGATAAACGCATTCAACACTTGACTGAGTTTTACAGTTTTTAAGTTAATTGGTTATTTATTATAACCAGACCGAGAAACCCTTCGATTCCTGTTAATTCATACCGTACCACTATAATTAAATATCACCCATAAAAAAATTGACGAACAAAATCTTTAATCATTACACAATTCAAAAATTAAATGACCAAAACTCAATTATGACCTATGGGATGAAAAGGCAAGATTTTAAAATTTTAAGATGAGTATAGATCGATAGGAAGACACTTGAAACATCTCCTTTGACTCTAGTAACAAACACTAAAATCTGTAAATCTTCAATAGTTAAACAAAACAAACATTAAATTGGACACATCATGCTAAAACAAACTCTAAAAACAGAAACATCATGCTCAAACAACGACTAAATCCAAAAGCACTTTAATAATATGAGGCTCCAGAACTTGAGTAGGATTAGTGTATCCATCCAAATAATGCTTGTAGGCAACATCCACCATCCTAGTAATTAAGTTTGAGAACTACTATGAGATTCTCCATTCGCACTGTTGTAGGCCTAAGAAGACCCTCATTTGTGTCCTTCCAAGCATCTTCAAAAATTTCTTCTAATTTTTTGATTGCCTCTTCGTGGGATACATTGTAATGCATAGCACAACACTCAAGTCCAGTTACACCTCTTTTTTTCTCAATCTAGGGAGTAAACAACAATTGAAGTAACTAAATCTTTAATTTTTAATTTGCAACTTTTGCATGCGTGTTAACATTATAAATTTGATGAAAGATTTAAACATATCGATTGTACTGTACATACCTCGTGAGAAGCAATGTCGTTTATGAATCGAGCTAGTTTTGCACCAACCACCAGAATTTTAGGGTTGTTTTCTAGCCAATCAACCACAAGTTTTGTGTAACTTTGCATAAATAACAAGGACCCTGCTGTAAGTAAGTAGTGTGCTCCTGTAATCAGCCCTAAATCTGTGTACTCCTTAAAGGTTGGCAACTCTCTTTTAAACAACCAACAAGACTGTGTGTAACTTGTCCTTACATATTGTTTCCACTGGTTAAAAAAGACATTGTTAATTTATTGATTGAGGTTGTGTCTAGTTTGTTCCCCCATGTAGCTTTTCTGAAATTATTAACAGAAAGATGAGTTAGGTTGTAAAAAACAAGATTGAATAGATAAATATATAAATCCTTTAATTATAGCTACATAAAAACTCTTAATTATAGGTATATACTAATCTCTTAAAACAACAATATTTAATTGATAAAATCAAATGTAAGGAAATCCCCTTAAATCAAGTGAAACACCAGTAATGTCTTTTTTAATCCCCAATTTCAAAGAACCTCTTCCATTCCACTCCTCTCTTACACCCGGGCCTTTAAATCAATTATTTAAAATCTGATATCAATTATCAATCCATCTCTTTCTACAACAAAGAAAAAATAAGCTGTCATGAAAGAAATTTGATTTTTTAAGGATGAGTTTTTTTATTCTTCTGTTGTAGATATTGGTTTATGATTTATGTAAAACAGGGCATAAGTTAACTGTTGTAAATTAAATGTTATAAATCTAGACATAGATTTATGTGCAATAACTCACTTTCTATCCTTTCAATTGATTTTTTATTCTTTTATTTTTTTTTATTTTAAAAATGATTCATATTCTTTATTAATCGATTTAAAAATACAGGCGGCACCCGGGGCATTCGCCCGGGGCAAGCATCTAGTTATCAAGTTATATAGATAGATAGATTTGAAATAAAACAAGAACTTATGTTACTCCTATCCCAAAAAAATGGTCTAACAAAACAAGTTAATCAACAAAACAAGTTACAGTGAATTTGAAAATAATACAAATTTAAAAACTAAATGTGGACTATTGCTTTTGGGACAACAGTAATATTACAATGAATTTGAAAGCTTGAATTATAATGGCATTGATCCAAACTTGAACTAAAAACGAAATCATATCAACTATAAGTATATTCCGCATCGACTTCTTTGTCATCCTCGTTGAACATTCTGTTTTTTTGGACTCTTCTATGACGTTGCTCCTATGACCTTATATCATTAGTAATTACTTTCACCGTACAACGGACATGACTTGTTTAGATCTTGTGGTCGTTGCAGAAGATGTCAGAGTTGACTCTTCTACAATGTCGATTTTAATCTTGTGTGATTTGATTCGGTATACAGAAAGTATTTTATATACTTTTCACAATGGTAATAAAATTAACCTCTTAAATAAAACAAAATAAAAAAACTACTTCATCATACTTAGTAGGAGAACTACTGATAGAACTCATACATGTGGTAGATCAAATGAGCCAAATGTTCATTGGAATGGATCCCTGAACTGATAATATGAGAATGATTTATTACATCACACTGGAAACAAGAATTAAACTACAAACACCATAGTCCAACAAACAATCAATTGCAAACTTTAAAATAAAACACAACATCAAACCAAAGACATCATAGTCAAACAACAATCAAATCCAAAAGAACTTTAACAATGTGGGGCTCAAGAACTAGAATAGGGTTAGTGTATCCATCAAGATAGTGCTTGTAGGTAACATCCACCATCCGGGAAAGGTTGAGAACCGGCATGAGATTCTCCCTTGGCACTGCGGTAGGCCTAAGAAGTTCCTCATTTGTGTCTTTCCAACCATCTTCAACAATTTCTTCTAACTTCTTTATCGCCTCTTCTTCAGATACATTGTAATGCCTTGCATAACACTCAAGCCCAGTTGCACCCCGTTCTCTCTCGGTCTGATTTGAGTGTACAACAAAGTAATTAAGTAATTGAGTCATTCGCTTTTTAGGAATAAGGCGATGTATGATTAAATCGAATGTTGAATTATGAACGTGAAGCGAAATTGAACCATATGTACTGAATATACCTACCTCATGAGAAGCAATGTCATTTATGAATCGACCAAATTTCGCGCCAGCTACTACAATTTCGGGGTTTTTCTCTAACCAATTGAACACATCTTCTGTGTAGCTCTCCATGAATAATAAGGAAGCTGGTGTGAGTAAGTAGTTTGTGCTTGTGATCAACCCAACTTCTGTGTACTCTTGAAATGTCGGTAGTTCTCTATTAAGGAACCAACATGACTGAGTGTAACTCGTCCTCACATATTGTTTCCACTGGTCAAAACATCAATTTTGATTGTTTAGAGAATGTTCATGTTCTTATTTACTTCTGCAAAAATCAAATGATACTTTACAAAAGGTGAAAGAGGAAAGAAGATGTTGTCCAAAACTTATGAAAATCAAATTTTTGATGTTATATGATCTGTATACCTCTTCTATGTATTTAGCCGAAGCATAACGTCGAGAGTTGCCTCGTTTTTTAAGCTCCTCATCCACCCAATCACCCAACTTAATCAAACCAATATATATTGGCCTCATGTATTTTGGAAGTCTATCAGCTTCTTTGACGTCCCACCTTAAAATAAACCGATTAATAGCAACATACTATCCAAATATATATAGATTTTATTGTATTCAGAACGCTTTCGATTGCGTTTCTGAACGCTTCGAGTTCATCAAGTTCGCCATAGGCATCATATGTGTCGTCAACTAATGTAATGAAGACAGATGTTTTTGCACTTGTGAGTCGGCATAAAGCATATTGAGGTTCAAAGAAAGTTGACATGGCCCAAAAGTAACATTCGACCACTCTATCTCTAGAATACGGAACTTTTGGTACACAGTTCTTCAAGTCATCCCGCCAGCTGCAAGTACACATTTTAAAACCAAAATCGCAAGTATTTTTTTAGTATATCAAATTCTTCTTTTTTACCATAATTATTATATGTAAAAACCCTTTATATTGGTGATAATGAAATTAAAAAATTAATAGTCAAGTTTCTTAATCTAAATTTAGAACACCATTATTATGGGACAAAAATGCAATGTTTGATTTAGAGAGAGAAAAAAGTATGTCTAAGGTCACATGTTAAAGTTTCAAATAAGGAATTAATTTGGTACCTGATTAGCTCGTCAAGTTCTTTCCTGTGCAATATCTGTAAATATCTATAATCCAATTTGGCAAACCTTAAGAGTAATGGGTTTTTGCCTTCATCTTCTTCATAAACAGATATGTAATGTCGAGCCTGTAATCTTGGGACATCTCTGTGCAATGGCTGGTCAAGAGCATATTTAACTTGTTTGGCAAGACAAGGAGACATTTCTTGTTGACTTCCATGTTCCAGATGAGTTGTGGCAAAAACAACAGCTTTGTCTAAAATGTTGCCTTCATGAGTCCTCACATAAGCAGCTTGATATAAACTCAAAAGACCTCTTTTATCATTGATAAGTGATTCTTTGAATTCACCCATGCCATCCAAGAATTGTCGAAAGATGTCTGATTCACAATGATTTGGAATTAAATATTGTTGAAGGTATAACAATTCGTTACAATAATTTTTTCCATTTTAAAATTTTGCAGGCTTCCAAAGATAAAAAAAAAAATGTGTAGAAATTAAAGAACTACATACTTTGTCTGTCTTGAAATTATTGTTCATTCTGTCCCAAAATTATTGTACAGTTTGACTTTTAGTATAATTCAAACTAAAAATGATAACTCAAATTGAACAATAATTTTGGGACGGAGGGAGTGTTTCAAAAGAGCAAACATGACAATTCTTGTGAAATTAAAAATGTAAGACTTTTAAGTATCAAATGACAATCAGTAATATAACTACTTTCACGTAGGAGCGTACCAGAAGAAATATTAAAACCATGCTGCCTCAGGAGTCGAAATAGAAGAGCTGTAGCATACAAATCATTTTGTAGATCCTCCTCCGCGTTAGAGTTGTTCCCATTCTGAAGGTAAATTTGCTCCAATAATTCATCAATTTCTTTCTCAAAATGGTAAGAAATGCCAAGTCGTTCTATAGTGTCTATCAATTCCAGCTTTTCAGATGTCTTCGCTTCTTTAACCTTAATTAGCATGATGCGCACTTCTTCCTTCAGCATTTCAATTTCTTTGGCTTGCTTTTCGTATTCCTAATATATTTAAATATAGCTAATTTTAATTAATAGAATCATCAACGGAAAAAAATAACAGAAAAAAAAAAAACGCTCATTGACAAAAAGTTAATGAAAAACGTTTCATTCCTTTCATTTTGATATGCTCTTTCATACTTTTTTTCATCCAAAAAGAATAGTTCTGACAGGCCTAATAGTGGACACAGCCTAATAAACTTATGGACTATTACGGCTTATGGGCCTTAACAAATTAGAAGGCCCTTGTTGTGGATCATGGGCTTGTTATTATTCCCAAGCTCTTCTTAATAACGAAACTCATCACCGCGATGTCGATCAACTATCCGATCCCAAATTATATAATTTTAATGTAACTCTACCTAATTTTTTGTTTTATATTTAGAATAGGAGGGAGTATCTTTTGATATCACTCACAAAACTAAGTTGTTGGGACGTGATAAACTGAAGTAATTTTAATACATTGAGAACAACTTTTACTTAATTATTACTTATATTAGCCGCTTATAAAATTTTAATATTATATTTAGCTTTTTACATTTACTTCTGCCTAGCCTTTTTTTAATTCGTTACGAATGAAGTAAAACTTTCGCTTACTGTTACAATTAATATTAACCAGCCCACCTCATATTCCAAGTACATTAGGTTTATTTTTGCAAAAATCAAAACAAAACTAAAAACAAAATTAGTAAAACTACTCTTTTAAAGTAAAAAATCCATTCAGCGAACCCAACTTAAAAGTGGGTGAAAAATCCCCCTCTTATAATCCCGGGTGAGAATATATTGAACATGAATCTACTCTCAGAAAATATAGCCACCAATTAAAGTAAAATTTCAATCTTAAGTGTTACAGTTAGGAAAAAAATTACGATCTGACATAACTCGTACCCATTTTTTGCGAAGTTAATACAAAATAATAAAAACAAATTGCAAAATCGTGAAACTAGACTTCCGAATCATCACAAAAGTTATCCCTTTTTTAAAACTAAGATGGAGACTTCAACCTCAAGAGTTAATTCTGGAAAAAAAAAATGGTATAATTCTAATACCCACTTTTGCAAAATCCAGAAGAGGCCCAAATTAAGTTTAATTCTAATACCCACTTTTGGTATAATTCTAATACCCACATTAAATCTTTTAAATTTGTACTAAATGAGTATAAATACCAAAACTTAATGTGAACTTTTTTTTTTCAATAAAATTGATGTCATATTGAGAAGTATCGATAATAAAAATGAACTTTTTTTTTTCAACAGAATTGGTGTGATATTGAGAAGTATCGATAATAAAAATGAACTTTTTTTTCAAGAGAATTCATGTGATATTGAAGAAGCATCGATAATAAAAATGAAAAATGCTTATTCCTTTTTTTTGTCAATCTTTAATCGAATAATTAGTTTAGACAAGAAAATGTTACTACTAACATAACCCGATCAGAGAAATTTTAAACCTTACACCGTCAATAAGAGGGAATTTGGGGAGTGATAAATAATTTAAACACGTGTAAAAAAAAGCCTCCAAGAGGGTGACATATTGTGATAAATTTAGTCTGCTATTTATTTATCAACCATTGCCATGTTATTGAACCGATTGAGTCTTGTCGGATGCATTATTTGACATCAAAATTATTTATACATTGCAACCAGGTTTTAGTAACGGAATTTAATTAAGCCAGGAAGAATAATTTAGAGAAGTGATGTCCCATTTTGGAAAATCTAAATCACCGGTAACTTTTATCTAATATAAGATATAATATATGTATATATATACATATATTGATATATATATATATATATATATATGACTTCATTCCGTACCAATTTGTTTTGAGTTGAATGCTCAAGTATTTCTTTAAACAATGGCTAAAGCAGAACAGGTGCTTATTCAATTTTCAAGATCCTCATTTAGGGGAAGATACACACACTGTAATTATCAAAACTATTCTGACTAATAAGCTCAGCTAAGTTGGACTTGATCAACCCAATAAGGCAATAATTACTGAAATTTTGGATAGATCATATATTCCTATTGAAGTTTGTTCAAGAGAGAAATTATTCAGTGCAACTGTTGTACAATGTAGGATTGTGCAGCTAGACACAATAATATGGGTAAAGTAGTAATTTTAAGGTGAGAGAGATAATTTCTAAGGGAGTTATATCACCAAAATAGAAGGGTGCTAATACTTGCTGCACTAAAAACCAGGATTCAACAGTTGTACCCAATAATTTTTCGGTTCAAGATAGAAAAACCGATGTGGATTATACACCTTCAACTTAATTAAGCTGAAACGATTCCAACATCTTGAGACAACAAACATAAAAGTCCAATTCCAATAACTTGTTTTTTTTTAAATTATTTTTTTGCCATGCGTTCACAATAGTTTGAACTGGAGACTTTATTTAAGGATCATAAAATTTAATACCACTCCGGTCAACTAGTGTGATTGGTTGTTAGTTGTTACTGTCCGGAAAAACTAGCTCAATAAGTTTATAGGGAAAATAGAATAACGGTGAATAAAACGGATCACAGTTCACACATACAAAAATGTATAAAAACATGCAAGTTAAGAAAAAAAAAAAAGACAAGGAAAAAGAAGAACCTGTTTATCGACTATTAATGGCTTAATCCGATCTTTCCAAATGCATTCCGGGAACTCTACCACCGGACGGTATATGCTCCTCTCCTCCTCGTTGGTTAGGGCTGAGTTAGCAGCTGGATTTTCCGGGAACCCCATCACCGTCTGTCGGAGCCGGGCCGGAAGATCAATTCAACAAGAATTAAAAACATGCATAATAACTATATAAGACTGCATAAACCCAAAAAAAGAAAAAAAAAAGAAAAAGAAAAGAACCTAATACCTTTTGATTGGAGCTAAGCTGAAAGGAGATCAATCTCCAACAGAAACCTGCTTTCAAATTTGCTGCTTTCAAGAAAAAAATTGCTGATTTCAAGAGATTCCGAAGAGGGCTATATTGTATCAAAAGAAAAAAAAAAAAAAGAGGGCTATATATAGATATCATATAATAGTGCACTAAGGGATCATAGAACTTGTTAGTTGCCCAAGAGATCAGTCACATTCCGCTTGATCCGGAGTTAAGACGTATATATAACGTTTTGCAAACTAGTTAGAAAGTGATTTTTTACTCACATGTGTAAGGATAATAACATGTGTGGAGATGCCTTAGCGAAAGAGGCTATTGAGAGTGATAGGGGGTTATATTTTTCTGATGTTTCCCAAGTTCAATTACTGCAGATAGTGCTTCTGTCTTTTTAAAAAATAATATTTCCTCCATTCTAAAATTATTGTCCAATTTTGATTTTCATTTTTTGAACAAAATTGAACTAAAATAAACATCTTAACTGAAAAAAAAAATTTAGACTAGAAAGTAATAATATATACGTCATTTATGACTTTTATTAAACGCCCAAGATGAAGAAATTTAATCAATGTCTACTTTTTACTCTCAGATTATGTTCTACCATCAGTAAATGACAACTAGCTAGTAATTGCACTAGGAAGGAAAGGAATCATAAAGATAAGCTTTATATATATAAAAAAAATGAGTTAGTACTGCATTGGGAGTGTAATAACAAGATAAAAATAAATGATCACAGAACTACATATATATATATATATATATAGTTTTTTTTTTCCTGAGCAAAATGAAGAATTTCATTAATTAGCTGGAAACGGTCAACCGCGAAATGAGTTACATACAGAATATAAGAAAGAACGGAAAAAAAAATGAAGACTGCAAATTTACAAACAAACGTACGGTTAAAAATGTTTTGAGAGGAAAAAAAATTGATGTCCCCTTGTCCGGCAAAGATGAGGAGATTAAAATAATATTACTCACTCTGGTCTTTATTACAAGGTATTTTGATTTTGTCCTAAGTTTCACTTATGATGTTTTTTTAATTAGAATAAAAACCTTAAAAATATTTCATTTTAATTAGAAGAGTACGACGAATGTGAAAATATATTTTTAAGATTTTTTTTAATTAAAAAAATATTTTAATTTAAACTTAGAACGAAATCAAAATGCGTAAAAAATAAGGACAGCAGGGAATCCATTTTTCCATCGCCAAATTGATTCCGATTTGGATGTTAATGATTTAATTAATGTACTTTCAAAAGGTTGATTGGTCTGGTAATATATTCGGTTTCAACCGACATAATAGTATATTATTTGATTCTCCATTCCCCGTTGTCCGAACGTAACTTATTATATTGATATATATATATATATATATATATATATGGGAGCGACTACAGTCCAATTGACTGAATGGTTCAGTCAAATTTAATAGCCGTAAAATGATCATAATTAAATGATAACCATTAGATTAAAAAAGTGGGTGTACTGAAAGAATATACACCAATTACACTTGATTATTACAAAGTAATCATTAAACCCTCATCTTTTCATAATAAATAAAGAAAAAAACACTTCTCCACTGCCGCCACCACCATCTTCTTCATCCTCTGGCCACGCCCTTCTTCTTCCCTAAAATTCATATGAACCAAAATTTTGATAGCTTTTTTTTTTTTTTTGATGCCTATGCCCGTAAACAGCAACCAACAATCAGAACTCAAATCAGTATATCTTTTTCATCTATAGCAAAGTGCATAATTGGAGTAGCTATAAACTTTTTTCTTTATCCATCTGTTTTATTCATCCTTCTTTTACAACAAGATCAATTTTAATTGATATAAAATTAAATCAAAGTTAAGAAAATTTTAAACTAATCAGATTAACCATGCTTAAAGTTCATAGACTCAAATCATCAATTAAATCATCAATTCAAGCCTTACGAAATCTTGTAGCTAAATATATGAGGCTCAAAACAAACCACTCGGTAAGGGCAATGCGCTGAATTCAAAGGCATTGGAAAGTTTGGATATCAAGATAAGAAATATGAGTTCTTAATCTCAATTATGTCAATTAAATTAAAAAAAAAAACAACGGCAACCATATATAGGAGGTGGAGAGGAGCATCGAATTGGTTTTTCCTTTTTAATTTTTCACAAAATTAAAAATATTTTGGGATGTGTTACCATGTTTCTCACCCTACGAATACATGTTATGTCCTTAATTTTGATTGGTTAAATTTTAACAGGACGGTTCAGTAAAAAAAAGACGACTGGACTCTAGAATTTCCCTATATATATATAATTTAGGTAAGGGATAATGGAGAGTAACTAATTAATAACAAGGGTAATATTTTTGAATAATTTGTATTAAGGGCATAATCATTCAACTAAAAAAACATGACTTAGCATTTAATATAGATTTTATTTCATTTCCTTTTCAACGTACATCAATTACGATTTATTTTCTAAGTAATATAAATAATACTTTAATATTTAAATATTATTAGTATAGAAAAAATGAAAACTTACATGATTAAAATATATATTACTATTAACTCAAAAATAAGGTTTGACATTTCATAATTTCTAAAAGGAGGTTTTACTCTTTTTTTTGCTTTTTTTTTTTTAAAAAAAACCCCACTTTCACATGAACTGAGACTTGAAATCATTTTTTTTTTTTATCAAAACCTCATACTTAAAAAAGTAAAAAAAAAAAAATAATAATTTCAAGAGTTTAATCACATATTTTGTATTTTATGAGAGTGAAAATTAAAATTTAATAATATAAAAAAGTTTATGGCTTCAAGTTTATTTAGTTGATGAAATATACATATATGTAATTATTTTAACCACTTTAATATTGTTATTTTAGTCATATACACGTAAAAAATAAATAGGACACACTTTCACAATATTTAAATAAATGTAATTAAAATTTTTTAATAGTTAAAGTCATGTTTATATGATTGACTTGTTATGCCCTTAAAACAAATTATTCAAAAGTACTGCCCTATTTATTAATTATTTTTTCTCCACTGCCCTTCATCTAGATTTTTCCTATACATATATTTTAATAAAAAAATCTACTTCAGTGGACCCCACTTAAATTTGAGAAGAACCCCTCCTTACAAACTCCTGGTGGGAATTGAACCTTGGTCTATTATCAGGAAAGACAACACCTTAATCACTAAACTGTCATTCAATTTCTAAGAGATGATATATATTTTCTTAGGAGGAAATATAATAAAATACACTAAATTTTGTTGGTTATTGGTTTAAATCTCAAATGCCCGTATTATTTGTGTTGACGGAATGAATAAGTGGAAATGATTTATCATATTTGTATACATAATTAGTTCGTAATTTTTTGAACTTTTTAAAATTGACTAAGAAGTGAAATTTTGATTGCATTCATGGAAATTGATTGGGAGTGAGGTGATGGAATCACCGGCAAAATTATGATAAATGAATATTGACTGTTTTCAGATTAAAATTTAGACTAGGATTGTGTATGTTTTTAACTTCTTTTTTAGGCATATATATTGGCTGATTTCAAGGTAAAAATAGGAATAGATATAGCAAGCTTTTTATTAAAAAAAAAAAAAGTGTAATAACTTTTGAAGATGTACATAGATAAAAGAACGGCTAACGTGAATCTGGCAAGTATCCTCAATGATAGTAAAGTGATGTTTAGAATACTAAAATTATAGGGGAAAAGTTTATCGCTTGTATTTTGGCCCCGTGTACCATAAAAAACCCCTCCCCAGTCTTGATAATACTATCACATATTAAGATTCAATATAAAAATAACTAAAATAATCATGATTTACATATACTTTATTTTCATTTTTTTTTTGACATTCAAAGACAATCATTTCTTTCACATTCAAAGAAAATTATTTAATTTGTCATTTCAACATTTAATTATAATATTTGATCATATATAAAACTTAATCCATGATTAATAATATAACCCTATCATGTTTCAAGAAAATATAAGTTAACTTATAGTTAATTTCAAAAATTTATCATTTAACTGCATTAATGTAAAATAGTTTTTTTTTTTAAAGGAATGTAAAATAGTTAATATGGAGTTATTCAAAACTTAATTTATTATATTTTAAAAAATTATTTAAATCATTTTTGACCATTTACACAAAATTGATGATGAGGGTGATATGTTAAGGGGCTATTTGAAAAGTTGATTATGAGTCATAAGAGTACATTGTAAAATTATAAAAACTTGGGAAGATTTATAATAGATTGGGCCAAAACTCAAAAGTATATAGTGTAGTAGTTCGCTCAAATACTCCCTCTATTTTTTTTATATGTCTTTTTAGAGAATTTATCAAAACCAAGAAAATATTAAATAATGTAGTTAAAATATAAAAATATCCTTATTTATTTTCTATACAATTCATTACAAACCAATAGAAATTTATTATAAATATTGTTTCATTCCCAATATAGGGGTAACATTGATAAAAAGTGGTCAAATGTAGAAAACAACATATATTTAAAAAAATTTATCAAACTCTAAAACGACATCCCTTTTATCCTATTAAAGCAGAATACAGGATGTTGATGTGGCAATTTCTTATTAAAAAATTTTGGCTCCAAATGCACCACATTGCTTTAACCATTCTGCCACACGTCATCCCTTTTTAAAAGAAAAAAAAACTTCTTATCCAGAAAAACAAAAGCTAATTTACAAAAATAGCTACACAATTTTAACTCCTAACACTTATCATTTATCAATCAAATTAAGATAGGATTTAAATTTGTCCATAAAATTATCCCTTTTATTACTCCAGATTCTTTTGTATGATTTCTGCATTGGTGTACTTTTCAATATTTTTTCTCATTTATAGATGATTTTTTATTTTTATATTATTTTTGGCTAAAAAAGGGAAAACAATAAATGTATAGCTATTTTATTTTTTCTAAATCAAAAATTCATTTATCTATTAACACAAAATTAAAGTAGAGGGGGCGTCTAGGCATCTGCTTGGGTCAAGCATCTAGTCTCTTTTACCCTATTAAAGCAGAATACAGGATGTTGATGTGGCAACTTCTTATTAAAAATTTTTGGCTCCAAATGCACCATATTACATTAACCATTCTGCCACGTGTCAATCCCTTTTTAAAAGAAAAAAAAAATTCTTATCCAGAAAAACAAAGTAGTATTTAACTCCTACAATTTTAGCTTTACAAAAATAGCTACACAATTTTAACTCCTAACATTTATTATTTATCAATCAAATTAAAATAGTATTTAAATTTGTCCATAAACTTATTCCCTTTATTACTCCATATTCTTTTGTATGATTTCTGAATCGTTGTACTTTTCAATATTTTTTTTCCTTTGGCAGATGATTTTTTTATTTTTATAATTATTTTTTGCTAAAAAAAAGAAAAAACAAATGTGTAGCTATTTTATTTTTTCCAAATCAAGAATTCATTTATCTATTAACACAAAATTAAAGTAGAGGGGCGCCCGGGCATCTGCCTGGGCCAAGCATCTAGTATATTTTAAAATGGAAGGAGTAGATATTAATAGAAACAGATGGGCCACATACGTGCTTCTAAAAAAGACATGAACCACGTGATTGATGGGCGGCAAGAATAATTGGGATTTTGTTTTGTACAAAAGGATGAATGAATTATTATAAATAAATAATACTATGAGTCTATGACAGCATTTTTATTATTAATATTATCGTTACAAGTAGGATAATAATAACAATAAGATTGAACTGTCGGGCAAGCTGTCTTCCGGCTTTTGACCATTCAAAGAAGTGATGAAATTCCTTTGATCTGAAAAAGTTAACTGAATTCCATGGAATATTATCTTATGGACATCCACATTAATATATTATCTCTATATATTTTAGAGATCTGAAAAAGTAATGAAATATTATCTCTATACATGGAATGGTTTGTAATATGGACAACTGAATTCCATGGAATATGGACATCTGAATTCCTTTGATCTGAATTCTTTTTTAGAGATCTGAAAAAGTGTTTGTAATATGGACATCCACATCTAGTATATTTTAAAATGGAAGGAGTAGATATTAATAGAAACAGATGGGCCACATACGTGCTTCTAAAAAAGACATGAACCACGTGATTGATGGGCGGCAAGAATAATTGGGATTTTGTTTTGTACAAAGGATGAATGAATTATTATAAATAAATAATACTATGAGTCTATGACAGCATTTTTATTATTAATATTATCGTTACAAGTAGGATAATAATAACAATAAGATTGAACTGTCGGGCAAGCTGTCTTCCGGCTTTTGACCATTCAAAGAAGTGATGAAATTCCTTTGATGGAGCCATACCTCTTATTAGGGTGTTTGTAATTCAGTAATCGGTGGAATTAAACTCTACTCCGCTTCAATTCATCAATCGAGATAAATAATTTTTTATTTTTAATTTTTTTTTGAGAAAAGACAAATAATGGTTTTGGATATGCGATATAATTAAACTATATCGAAAAAAACAAGAGAATGAATTTGTTATAGAGAAAAAATTCTTCCTGAAAGACGAAAACATGATATAGAAAAATAACTGTTAATTATTTTTGCCCATACAAATTAATCAAGCAAAATCTTACCACTTCTAGTTAAAGTTTCGATATTACTATTGAATTCCCTGCTAAATTTAGCCAATATTTTATTCAGAAATCTATTCATAGCGTAATCTGATCATATTACTCCCTCCTTTCGTCTGTGTATAAGAAACTATTTTCTTGAATTAAAAAAAAAAACTTTTTGCAATAAAGAAAGGAGCATCAGTTATAAATTAAAACTAAACAATATTTATGACATATAAATTAAAACTTTTTGCAATAAAGAAAGGAGCATCACTTTTCTTTTCTAAATTTTTGTTTTATTATTCACAATTGTCTTGTTCCAAAATTACTACAAGCACAACCTACTGAGGGCAAATATGTGCAAGTTAATCAATGAATGCCCTGCTATACTAAGCTAAAAGACCAAAGGGTTATAAGCATCTAAGAACTGGAAGGGTGCATGATTTGAGTTCAAGAAATAAGCTGCTAATCCTGCTAGTAAGACTATCAACATCGCCATGACTATGTACATTCTGCTACTCTTTCGCGCCTTGATCAGATTATTATCCTCCATATTTGAGTCCAGATTATTGCTATTTTCTGCACTGTTGGAAATGCCCATTTCATTTTGATCTGAAGATGCAGTATTAAGTGTTTCCTCTACCTGGATCAACAAGTTTAAACATCTGTATTAGCATTAATGCGCGGCAGGATGAAAGATGATCAGATTTGCAAAAATGATAGGTATGTCTGTTATAAGTTTCATTTTCACTTCAAAACTGTACTTCTGAATAAGCCAAAAAACTACTTTAAATGCACAAATACAGAAACATTTGACTAAGATTGGTGAAGAAATCTTACCAGAGAGTTGGAGAATGATTTTGATGACTTTCCTTGTGATTCATCATTCAACGACGCAGCAGCCGAGTCAGCTCTAGATGTTCGCAACATTTTTTCACTCTTACTAATGTTGTCATGTGCAGTCAAGCATTCATCCTTTTCAGTCTTTCTTATCTTCACTTTGAGGAACTTGTTTTTTTTCGCTAAATCATTAAGCTGCAACAATGTCAATCATCTCAACTTCTTAGTCTACCAGATTGCAAGCAAGAAAATAAAATTACAGAATATTATATGAGGAGTGCACCTCCTCTGTAGGGGGGTGTAATAAATATTCTGCTAGTTGAATAAATCAACATAAAGGCAATAAAAGCAAAGGTACATGTTTCTTTAGACGCTCCCTTTCCAATGCAAGTTGCATTACCATATCCATAATGACATTGGTCTTGATACTTATGTCCTTTGCACTTGCCATTTTCTCAATAGTAAAATGATCAAGAGTTGTCTCCATGGAGTCAATTCTCCAAGGATTGTAACCTTATAATCACAATTCACCGATAAAGCATATTCTGTTAAGAGATAAGTAAAAGGGGGAAATGCCCATTATTTATAATAGTTTTGTCTGAATTTAGAGATGAAATTTGACAGACAACATAAAAGCAGAGCTAAGACCTAAAGAAACATAAACTATTCCAAAACAAATAAATGAAACTCTACGATGATTACAAAACTCTACAAGGTATCTCCTTTCTCTGTTTTCATGAATGGAAATACGATCAAGTCTCAACCAGCTCCTCATTCGAGTCAAAATCAACTAAAGAGAGAAATCCAACTGATGCTTTATTTACGTAAGCTACCACGTCATCAGAAATCATCATTGAGAAGAGCAGTATTCAGACATGTACCTTTACAGCAGAAATTACTTGTGAACCTTTTGCAAGCTCAGCAGCAATAGATGAAGCCAAACTGCAACCAGTTCCATGGGTATTTGGAGTTCTCACCCTAGAAGCTCGGAACTAAAAAAATTGTTGCCTACAGAGTTATCCATAATATTGAAAATGAAAAGTAAGTCTTGCATCTAAATTGCATGCATTTGAGTTACCACAACACCACAATGTTACTGGAGAACTTTACGAATCTTGTCAAACATACCATCATATAAAACATCAACAGCATCTGACAATACCAGGAGATCACCTCCTTTGACAAGCACATATCTGCAGTAAGTGACTAAATTCAGCCCTCTGCTCAAAGTGATTAGAACTAAAAAGAAAAGAAGATTGTATGAGAAGAGCTATCCAGAAAGCTAGTTCAGTATTAATGTCAACTGCCTAATATTTTTTACTAAAGAGAAAGTGAAACTGTCAATTTTCAGCTGTTTTACATGAGATTCAATCTGATCTTCTGCCTATATCAATAAGTATGACAAATTTCTTCATGATCTTAGCTGGAACTTTATCTTTAGTTTAGCAAGAAAATGCACCCTTAAATTTACCAAGCAAAGAATTTATTAAGCTCGAGAAAACTGACACTTGTCCAAATCCATCAAGAAAAGATCATGCAGTTAAGGTAAATCTTATTCATCAACCACAAAGATTCTCGAGACTCATGGCAATCTAATCTATCAGGCATATCAGTTTCGAGGTGGCACTAGTTTTCCAAATGAATTGGTAAGTTCAAAGCAGACTCTTATAAATAATTGTAAGATAAGGCTCACTTCGGGCCAAAATCATGTATAGATTTGGCAGCAGTACGCATGTCTGCAAGTGATTCCAACAGCATACCACCAAACAAAGCGGATGCCTCTTTTAGATTTGGGGTTACAATGTCAGCCATAGGAAATAGCTTATCCCTATAATGTCAAAACCATAATGTGTCATTTTTAGTTGGACTAACTGAAGCAACTAAATGAGCAGATAAAAAATGAGTTTGAACATCGAGGAACCACCTCACAGCCATAGGAAGATGACTTCTATTGAAAAAATGGTTCCTATGGCAACTGGAAACAAACCCACTTCGAATATGATGCAATAAACAAAACCCATGAAAAAATTTACACAAATCCCTACTGAAGTAACAAGGATTCGAGTGTAAATCCAAGTATTAGAAGTGATTGGAAGCTAAACCTAATCTAATAATAAAAAAAAAAGACGAGAATAAGAAAGATTACCAGAACAAGGTGTTGCTCCTACTTCGCCGTCGCCATCACGGGGAGTTTTGCCGTCGCCGTCGCCGTCGCCGTCGCTGTCACTGGGGTGCCGAAGGAGAGAGAGTGAGAAAGGGGCGCGACGGTCTAGGGTATGAAGAGAGAGAGAAAGGACTTTGTTTTCCCGTTATATTCATTACCCGATTTTTTCATAACCCGACTTCGACCCGGTTTAGACCCGCGAATGGAGAAAAAAGTCATGTTTCAAAAAATTGAAAAATATCCCCTACCTATTTTCTAAAAAGTCTGTTTTAAGTCTTTTTTTTTTTTCAAATTGATGTTTAGAAAAGAATTAATTATTTTGTCCAAACGCATTTTAAACTCTAAACAGACTTTTTAGCCTTAAAAGTCTTTTTAAAACTCTTGTCCAAATGGAGCATAAAATTCATTGACAAACTACAGATATATGCATTATTAGCTGTAAAAGGCCATTCAAAGAAGACATATATTTTGTATAAGAATGTAAAGTAATCATTAATTAAGAATCTACTTAATGGAAGGAGGTAAGCATGTGTCAACTGTGCTATGACTAGTAATAATTCCAAAAAGAAATATAACTACAAGCATTTGTGTAGATCAATCGCTGTTCATGACGCATACGTATCTAATAATATCCAGCTATAATAAAATAATAATCATATTTTAACAGTTCTAACCCAAGTTATATTTCTTTTTAATGCTACAATTTGTAACTGGTGGCATTTGTTGGATCCTGTAAGATTTTTGTTTGAAAATTAATGTCGCATCGTAGTCAATAAATGATATTCGATCTGCCAATACGAAATCTGAAGATCACATGGTTTACAGGCAAATGTCGTTTGTCGTCGGGATACTTCTGGGGATGAGATCTGTACAGGAACATGAAAGTGAACAAAATAATTTTTTTGTTTCTTTTTGGTACAAAAAGTGCACAAAATATTAAAATAGTTGTTTTTTCAGTAAGTTGATTTGGAGATCAAGCACCGTTCATTACGTATATGTAACTAATAATAGCCAGCTATAATATATAATAAAATAATAATCACATTGTAACAGTCATAATTATCCGCGGCCAAGTTGTGTTTTAATGCTACAATTTGTAAATGGTGGCATCTATTGGATCTTTTAAGATTTATATTTCAACATTAATGTCGGATCTTAGTTAATAATTGATATCCGGCTGCCAATATGTAATCTGAAGATCACATCGAAAGGAGCCTAACCTTGCGTAGTAAAAATTAGTATAATTACAATGTACTTAAGAAATCGTGCGTAGTATAAAAAAAAATTGTCGTTTTTGGACAGAATACTTCAGTCTACAAGATCGCATGAAAGTGCACAAAAGAATCTTTTTTCCTTTTATGGAGTACGCCGATAGTTATGTGATTCCAGCACACATCCGGGCTTTCCAGCACAAAACTCCGACACTGTAGATAAACCAATAGTTCCATCTCAAGAACCATGCACAAGTGTTCATACCTCAGAAGCCATAACTTTAACTAGCTTTTCTTCATAATTTTCAACTACATCAAAATGAAGAAACAAACATTAATTGGTTCATCACCAGACTAAGACCTAGCTAGAAGAATAAATCCATCAAGTAATGGGTTCACCTTCTCGTCATCCTCAAAAACGGGAAACAAATTAAACAAGAAAAATGAAATTTAGTTAGTTGAAATTAAATAATAGGATATGAAATGACTATTTTTGGGACAAAGGGAATTAAATTTTTGGTAAAAATATACCCAAAAAAAAACGTATTTTTTGTTGTTGTTTTTTTTTTAAAATACTCTTAGAATTCATTAATTTGCAAACGACAAATATAAATACATGAATTAAAAAAGAGATTGAAGAAGACCACGCTGTGAAAAAGGAAGAAAGGCCATGGTGACAAGTTTGGCTACTTGGGTGAAAACTTTTATCATATAGAGCATGAGTACTAAACAAATTGTTATAAAGAAAATTACTTGTTGGGAGAGATTTATTTCCAGAAAGAGACCTGAATTTAATGACTTGAGACATTATAACATTAAAAAAAAAAAAAACTACTTGGGTACTTGAAACTTAAATTCGTACATGGAAGCAACTAAGAAAAGACTATTTTTCCTTGATGCAGTTATTCCATTGGTCTCTGTCATGTCATTATCAATACTTTTGATACCATCTGGGAGTTTCCAGTCAAAATAGTATAAGAGATTAGCTAACGGAACTTCCACGTTAGCTAAGCCGAATGAAGTTCCTGGACAACTTCTCCTCCCAGCACCAAACGGTAAATACTCATAATTAGTGCCTACAAAATCAACATATTTTTCCTCAAATCTTTCGGGTCGGAAACTTTCGGAGTCATCCCAATACCTAGGATCTCTTCCGATTGCCCAAACATTAACCATAGCTCTGGTATTGGGAGGGATGATATATCCCTCAATTTTGCACTGCTCTCTACTGTTCCTTGGCATCAACAGAGGTGTGGGAGGATGTAGTCTTAAAGTTTCCTTAATTACTGCCTGCAAATAACTCAATCTTTGGACATCATTTTCTTCAATGGTTTCTTTTCCCAACAAGAGTAATGATTTCCTGATTTCACTTTGAGCCCGTGCCAGCACAGCTCGATTTCTTATCATCTCTGCCATTGCCCAATCCACTACGGCGGATGAAGTTTCAGTTCCAGCAATAAACATATCCTGCAAAAAATGTGGAATGATCACCGCCTTATGATAAACTTTTTTGTGGCACATTCAAATCACTTGCTACTTTAAGTTTGTAAGATTTAGTCCATCACATTTCATATTTTTAAGCCATATGTACATATGAAAATTGAACAACTTACCAGCAATATAGCCTTGATATTTGTGTTGGTAATTGGGAAACGAAGCTCGCCACTAGTTCCGTTTTGTTTGATCCGTAGAAGAACATCAATAAGATCTTCTTGTCCAAATTCACCATTCTTGCCAGTTGGGTTCTCAACGTGTTCTTGAATTATGGTGTCCAAAGTTTTATCAAGCTTTTTGTGCAGCTCCAACAACTTGGGCTTGGAGCTTAAGTAATGAAGGATTTTCCAGGATGGAAAAACATCAGCAACATCAAGCCCACTCGCGTGCAATAATACTTCCTTCATCAGCTTCTGGAGTTCCTCTCGATGCCGTCCAAATGCTTGACCAAATACAGCTTTATAAACCATGGAACTTGTGTAAGAGAATATTTTCTCGGTGACATTTATGCCCTGTCTCGATTGAAGCGGGACTTCATCGCGAATCGATGAAACCAGTTTCGCAACCTTGTCTTGCCGAATCGAGCTTAGTGATCGGACATTTTTGTCGCCAAGAAGTTCCACAGTACATATTTTACGTATTTCTCTCCAGTAATAACCATGTGGAGCAAATCCCATGTCCAGACCATTGTACAACATGATCTCCGCGACGAGCAAATTCGGCTTATTCGCGAAAGCCAGATCGTGAGTTTTCAGAATCGCTTCCGCTGTGCTGGGAGATGAAGCGACAATCGTCGAGATTTCGCCGAGCTGAAGGTGCATCAAATCTCCATGTTTTCGTGCCAAATTCCAAAGAGCGCGATGTGGAACTGAACCCATCAATTGGTGCATATTCCCAATGATGGGAAGCTTCCGCGGCCCTGGTGGAAGCTGCTTCTTCTGGGCTGCATCCCCTTCATTCTTCCATTTATTCTTGATAAAATTTAAACCCATTACAACAACTACTAGGAAAAAGGGAATCCAGCTGATGGCCTGACGCATCATGTTTGGTCGAATCAATAAATGAATTCCCCTTCTTTCTCTTCTTTTCTTTTTTTTTTTTTCCTTCTTTTTTGTTTTGTTTTGGTTGATGAGGGGGTTGCTTGAAAGGTGTTTATTTATAGTACTGAAAGTCTATATGGGATGAGAAAAGATTCAGCAATATTAGTGATCATTTTGCTTGTTATGGAGGGTTTCAACATAATTAATGAAGAGTTCGAGATTTTTAATTATTTACAAGTAATTGAACAATTCCCAACTAATCCCTTTTACTCTATTAAAGTAGAAAATATGATGCTGATGTGGCAATTTTGTATTAAAATGTTTTGGCTCCAAATGCACCATATTGCATAAACCATTCTGCCACGTGTCACCCCCTTTCAAAAACAAAAAATATATTTACAATATTAACGAAGAGATTAGATGAGCATGTTCATTCAAATTTTGAATTTGACAGTGAATAGAACTTTCCTTCTCTACTTATTTAGGACTCTCGAAAAATTTAATTTTCGGTCAATCAATTATCTTCATAAAAAACTGTAGAAAATATTGTGCATAATTAGAATGTAAATTGTAGTTATTGTATAGAAAAAGGACTTGTCTGTAAATAATGGTATAGGTAGTTAGTTTTTTAGTTTTGCCCAGTATTTAAGAGTCGGATTACTCTTCTTGTAATAGAACAGAACATTCCCAAAACTGAATACAACATCCAAAATTTCCCAAATATGAAAACCTCAATTCCACCATTGTAGATGGTATCAGAGCAGGTCTTGATCCTGCTTTGTGCCTCTGCTGGTGTTTAGATCCTCAAAAATCGAACTCAGCTTCAACCGTTTTTGATTCCGAAAATCGAAACCCTAGCAGATCTGAACCAAAACCTCGAAGTTTTTTTTTCAACTGGTGAAGATGGCAGTTAATCGCGAACGCGAGCACCGAGAGGAATTCCGGTGAGAAGATGGAGAGCCTATTAACTACGGTGGAAGCTACAATCATCCGTTGGTTCTACATCCATCAGATAATTCATCTATGGTAATCGTTTCTTCCAAGCTTACTGAAATCAATTACATTTCTTGGAGTCATGCAATTAAGCGTTTCTTAGGAACGAAAAACAAATTAGGGTTCATAAATGGTTTGTTTCCGAAACCAGAGGTTATAGACTCATCTTATGAACAGTGGATTCGTGTGAATGATACAGTAGTTTCTTGGATATTGAATTCTTTGTCTGCTGAGATAGTTGATGATTTTGATTTGGCTGATACTGCGTTTGAGTTATGGGAAGAAATTAAAGGAAGATATGGCACTAGTAATGGTCCTCAAATTTATCGGCTTAGAAGGGAGGTAGCTACAATTGCACAGGGAAATATGACTTTAGCAGCATATTACTCTAAACTGAAACGTCTGTGGGATGAATTGAACCATGTGGATCCAGTTGATGTATGCACTTGTAATGGATGTACATGTAGACTCAATAGAAATGGAGGTAGGGAAAATCGTCACAAGTTGATGCAGTTTCTGAGTGGCTTGAACGATTCCTACATTGCAATAAGGGATCAAATCTTGATAATGGACCCGCTGCCAGAAGTCAAGAAGGCCTATTCGATGGTGCTCAATGTGGAAAAGCAGCAAATCGTCAACAAGATGTATGTGGATCCAGTAGAACAAAGTGCAATGCTTGTGCAAAAGCCTGGTTTTAAGTCTGCAAGCTATGGGAATGGAAACAAGGAAAATTACAGGAATTCAACTGGAGGAACAAATAACTCTGGCAGAAAGGATGGTATTGGATTTACAGGGAAGGAAAACAATTTTAGATTGGAAAAGGCTTTGAAGAAGCTTCAACGGTGTGATAATTGTGGGATGACAGGACACTTGAGAACAGGGTATTTCAAGTTCATTGGATATCCTGATTGGTGGGAAGGCAATAAGGATAGTAAAATGAAGAGTTATCAGAATTCCAGCTCAGCAAATATGGTGACAGGAGAAGATTCTCTATCTTCCAGTTCTCATGGTCCTGGTCCAGAGGAACTATCTGCTATGATGAAGAACATGCAACTTATGCAACAAGAGATGGCTAAGCTACTCAAAGGGAAACAATCATTGATGAATGACTCAGATCACAACATCAATTTCGCTCACTACCATGATTTTGCAGGTATGAGTTATTATAAAGCTCTTAGTGCATTAAGTTTAGATGAGAGTAAGTTGAGGTCTCTATGGTTTCTAGATACTGGAGCTTCAGGTTCCATGAGTCCTTATCTTAAACTGTTTCATAGTTATAAGCCTGTTTGCAAATACACTCCTGTCACCTTACCTGATGGAAGCATCAAAACCGTAGACAATATAGGATCAGTACATCTATCAGAAACCTTGAAAATAGACAATTGTCTTCATATACCAGCCTTCAAGTACAATTTGTTATCAGTGAACAAATTGGCTCAATCCTCACACATTGATTGTTTCTTTTCCACTACTTTCTCGCTCACACGGGACCAATCGCCTAAACAGTGATAGCAGTTAGCGAGTCTGAATGCACCTATACATACTAGACATCACTTCTTTTCATCCCGCCAACATTCAAGAATTCTTGAAGACACATGTCACTCATCCTTTTCAGATTCAGCCAACCACATCCAGTACTCATCACCTCAACATGGTCACCACCAGCACAAGTGATCTCTGGCATCTTAGACTAGGTCACATCCCTGATTTAGTTTTAAGTAAACTAGGGATTACTTATGAGAATCATGTAAAACCTAGATTTTGTGACGTTTGTCCAGTAGCCAAACAGCAAAGAATAAAGTTTCCTCCTAGAACTATTTTTTCAGTTCAAGCTTTTGAATTAGTACATGTTGATGTTTGGGGACCGAATAAGCATCCTACTTATACTGGTGCCTCATATTTCCTCACACTTGTAGATGATTTTACCAGATGTACTTGGACATACCTCATGAATAACAAAGCCCAGTCTCTTTCCATATTGTCCAATTTCTTTAATATGGTACATACTCAGTTTGATGTTAAGGTGAAAACTCTCAGATCAGATAATGGATCTGAATTTCTTAGCAATCCTGCCAAAATCTGTTGACTTCTCATGGTATTATTCATCAGAAATCTGCTCCATATACACCACAACAAAATGGTGTTGTGGAGCGGAAACATAAACATCTTCTACAAATAACTAGAGCCCTTTTGTTTCATTCCTCTCTTCCATAGAAATTCTGGGGAGACTCTGTGTTAACAGCAACATACTTAATCAATAGACTGCCTTCTTCAATTCTGAATTGGAAAAGCCCCTATGAATTGCTATATCGAAAACCACCAACCTTGGATCATCTTAAAACCTTTGGATGTTTGTGTTTTGCTACGAACATCCTTCCTCAGAAAGACAAATTTTCACCAAGAGCCATAAAAGCCATCTTTCTTGGATACCCGTTTGGCCAGAAAGCGTACAAACTTTATGATCTAAATTCCCATAAAACATTTATTTCCCGAGATGTAGTTTTCGATGAAACTATTTTTCCATATTCCGACATTGTCTCAGATAACACGCCTCCTCCTACTTCTTCACCTGATACTAATGATGTTTTTGATTATCCAATTCTGATACCACCAGCATCAGGCACTGAATATGACATATTAGACCCTGACACTACACACTCTCATTCCTCACCAGATTCTATCCCTGTTTCTTTTCCCTCTCAGAATTCTTCTTCCGTTCCTAATCTTAGAAAGAGTACCAGAATCAAACAAAACCCCAAATGGATGGATGATTTTCATGTTCATAAAGTCCATTTGGTTCAGGATTCATTTCTACCCTCCACTTCACTGCAAACCAGTTCCAAATACACACCACAAACATATCCCTTCATTCCTGTTCCAGGTTTCTCTCTACCCTATATATCCTTCTTAGCTCAGATTGATAGAGTCATAGAACCAAAAACTTACTCTCAAGCTAAAAATCATCCAGCCAGGGTAGCAGCAATACAAACTGAACTGGATGCACTAATGAGAAACAAAACTTGGACTTTAACCACCTTGCCACCTGGAAAACAAGCTATAGGATGTAAATGGGTATACAAAGTGAAACATAACTCGGATGGGTCAGTTGAAAGGTATAAAGCTAGACTGGTTGCAAAAGGATACAACCAAACTGAGGGAGAAGACTATTATGATAGTTTCTCGCCTGTGGCAAAGGCTGTTACTGTTCGCCTTTTGCTTGCTGTTGCTGCGTCAAAACACTGGATTCTTCACCAGTTAGATGTCAATAATGCTTTTTTGCATGGATTCCTGGAGGAAGAAGTATATATGCTACCTCCTGAGGGATATCCAGCATCAGCAGGACAAGTCTGTAAATTGCAAAGATCATTATACGGTTTGAAACAAGCTTCCCGATAGTGGAACTTGGAATTTACCTCGAAAATGAAGGTTTTTGGTTTCACTCAGTTGTTACATGATTCTTGTCTATTTACTGGCACTATACTTGAGTCTTTTGTAGCCTTGGTTGTCTATGTGGATGATATTTTGGTGGCAGGAGAAAGTCTAGTAGCCGTTAATTCGGTCAAGCAATTTTTACATGATCAGTTTACTATCAAAGACTTGGGGCCAGCAAGGTATTTCTTGGGTATTGAAATTGCAAGAGCTGCAACAGGGCTTTATTTGAATCAAAGGAAGTACTTTCTCGACATTCTCAAAACCACAGGGATGTTGGGATGCAAACCAGCCACAACACCCTTACCAAAGGGTCATCAATTCTCAGATAAGCCTGGTGAACCTGTTTCTGATCCCTGTTTGTACCAAAGAATTGTTGGACAATTGCTTTATTTGGGGTTCACCAGACCGGATCTCACTTATGCTGTCCAGCAGCTCAGTATTCATGTTCACAATCCCTGCAGTGATCATTGGCATGCTCTTCAGCATGTTCTCAGGTATCTGAAACATTCTCCTTCTTTGGGGTTGTTTTATTCTGCACACAATACTTTTCAAGTTGAAGCTTACAGTGATGCCGACTG